CATAACTATTATAGAAACTATTTAGAAACAGAGGTGTGTGGGTGTGTGTATGAACTGGCAGAAATATGTGGACTACACTTATGCAGTTGCCTTTTTTGTTGTTGTTGGATTATAGCTTAAAGCAGTTGGCCCTTTTTTAAACTTGAATTATAGCCTAATGCAGTTGGCTCCCTTTTAAATTTGGATTATAGCCTAAAGCACTAGGCTCCTTTTTAAAGTTGGATTATAGCCTAAAACAGTTGGCTCTTTTTAAAGTTGGATTATAGCCTAAAACAGTTGGCTCTTCTTAAAGTTGGATTATAGTCTAAAGTAGTGGGATTTTTTCTAAAGTTGGATTATAGCCTAAAGCAGTGGCTTGTTTTATTTTCTTTTTTCTTTTTCTCTCTTCTCCTTGTGGATTTACAAAACTTGCTTGATTGAACAATGAGTGTAACGAACCTCACTAAAATTACAAAAAAAACCTGCTTCTGCACCCTCTTCTGGAACATCTAGTCCAGCAAGTCAGGGATATATTGAAGCAATGTTACAACAAGAGAAGGCAAATAATATCCAAAAAGGGATGCCCACAACTTTACAACTAATGCAAGAAATGATGCAGAATAATCACCAAGAAAGAAAAAGCAATCTTGATATGCTAAATGAACAAATGCTTGATATAAAGAAACAATTTGAGGTTCATCAACAAATGATTCTTAAAAATGAACAAAGAATTCAGAAGGTGGAAGATCAAACAGAAGATACTGGGGGGGGGGACTGAAGCACTAATGACAGAGAATGAAAGATTAGAACAAGCAAATCAAAACTTAGAAGGAACAGTCACTGCCATGGAAATGGAGAAAGCTGTACACTATTTGATATTCCAGAACATATCCGAAGATAAAGAGGAAGATATAGCAAAAGTGATTATTAATCTATTAGCAGAGGCCCTAAAAATTGAAAGATTGGAGATGCAGCAAGAAGTGGATGAAATATTTAGAATGAACTCAAGTTACGCGAGGAAACACAAATTGCCCAGAGAAGTCCATGTAAGATTTATGAAGTAAACAACAAGGGATGAGATATTAAGAAGAGTTAGAGGTGACCTATTAACAATATATAGAAATAATAGTGCTGAAACAGATTCCCAAGAGAATACGGGATACTCGAAGACAATATCATTTCTTGACTACAAAGCTGATTTGAAATGGAGTAAATTTTAGATGGCTGATGCCAGAAGGGATTGGATTCAGTGTGGAAGGCAAAGGATTTTGATGAAAGATATAGAGCATTTCTGGGAGAAAGAACACAATATCAACAAGATGATGGAAGAAGCCAGAAACAGACAGAACAAACAGTAGAGAAAACAACTACACAAGTGGAAGAAGAAAAAGAGAAGATGAATCAAGAAGATGAGGGAACAGTAAGAGAGCAGAGGATTACAAGATCAACAAGACCTAAATATAAGTAAATCAAAATGGAGAAGGAAAATGGAATTTTTTCAGTGAATATAAATGGATTGAATTCCCTATCAAAAAGAAAAAGAATTTTCAAACAACTACAGAAATTAAACATTGATATAATTTGTTTGTAAGAGACACACATAAAAAAAAACAACATTATGAATTTTTGGAAAATCCAAAATTTGGAAAACTTTATTACACATCAGCTCAACAAAAAAAAGGGGGAGTAGTTATATATGTTAAAGAGACAATAGATTCCAAAATGATTTATGCAGATGAAGAAGGAAGAATACTAATGGTAGAAATATTTTTAAATCAAAATCAGATTTAACAAACAAGAAGAATTTTATCAAAACCTTCACAGAAAAATAGTAGACATGGAATATCAAAATATATGCTTAATTGGGGATATCAATGCAATAGTAGATGGGACATTAGATTATAAAAGCAATAAATCAGGGAAACAAGGAAGAAAAAGATTACCTAAAACTTTTTTTTTAACACGATAGAGGAAATTGGTGTACAAGATATTTGGAGAAACGAACCCAGGAAAATCACAATACACATTTTATTCTAATAGTCATAAATCTTGGTCTAGAATTGATATGATTTCGATGATACCTGAATTAAGGGTTAATATGCAGGAAATTGAAATAGAATTAGGTATTTGGGCAGATCATAATCCTCTAAAAATGGTGTGGAAAGGAATGCAGAAAAAATTAAGATGGACTTTGAATCAATCTATATTAAAAGAAAAAGAATTTATAGAATTAGCAACAAAAGAAATGGAATTTTTCTTCAAAGAAAATAAAAAAGAAGATACATTACAAAATGTATGGGATACAGCCAAAGCATATTTTTGAGGCATAGCGATAACATACATGGTGGAAAAAAAATAAAGTAAAGAAACAACAATGTCAGTTGTTAAGAGAAGAATTTAAAAAATTAGAATTTGAACTACAAATAAAACATAAACTAAATTTAATAGAATCAGAAAAACTGGCACAGCAAATTAAAAGGGCAAAGCAAAACTTTTTGAAAATGCAAATAAACCAGGAAGATGGTTAGCTTATAAACTTAAAAAACAGGAGAAAAAATTGATAAACAATTTAGTAGATAAAAAGGCTGTTTACAATTTAAAAATGAAGCAATAAAAATATAATTAAAGAATACTATGAGAAACTGTATGTTAAGGAAGAAACTCCACGAGGTAGAAAATGACTCAATATATGGAAGAAAATAATTTACCAAAAATTCCAGAAAATTTCAAGACTATTAAATGAAAAAATAACAATGATGGAACTGACAGAGGCAATAAAAAGACAAAAAAATGAAAAAACACCAGGGCCAGATGGACTTCCAGCAGAGTCTATATAAATAAAAATGTAAATGTTCGTTTGTTCAAAATCTTAAATCTCCGAAAGTTCTTCACCGATTGCTTTGAAATTTTGACACAATGTTGCATTCGAATACGCGCGTGTTTTTATATACCTACTATTATATAGATGTCACACCTGTGACAGGTAAAAACATGCTTTTTTGAAAAACAGCGCCATCTGTTGGACGTAAAAGCAATTTTACATAAACAAAAACATATTACAAACTTTCTCTTTTCTTTCTTTTCCATTTAACCAGACTGAGCCACAACAACGTGTGGCCGGGTACAGCTAGGTTTTTATAAATGCTTACAAGATACACTAAGTTTACCATTGAAAGATGTATGTAATGAACTTTTATTGGAGGCAAAACTCCCAAATACATGGACAGAAGCAAATGTTACCAAAAGAGGACTCAGATTTGACACTGATAAAATACTATAGACCGATATCACTATTAAATGTGGACTACAAAATCTTCACTTCAATAATAGCTATGGGGCTGAAAAGATTTTTGACTGAATTTATACATTCAGACCAAAACGGATTTTTGCCAGAGACAAATAAAAAATAATTTGAGAGTAATACTAGACATATTGGAATATTATGAACTACATCCAGAGAAACAATTGGCATTAGTATTTTTAGACGCCCAAAAGGCATTTCTTGGCCATTTATGATTCAACAACTAAAAACAATGGACTTTAGTCAAAACTTTATAAATACAATTCAGTCAATATATCAGAAATAAACAGCAAAACTGATTGTAAATGGGGATTACACAGAGAATTTTGATACACGAAAAGGCACAAGACAAGGATGTCCATTATCCCCACTGCTATTTATCTTAATTTTGGAAGTTTTAAATAGAAACATTAGGCAAGATCCAGAAATTAAAGGATTGAAAATAAAAGGTGAAACCTATAAATTGCAAGCATTTGCACATGATTTTGGTATTCATTCTAGACCAGACATGTCAAACTCGCGACATCACGTGACGTTGCGCAACGTATCGGGAAAGTTTTGTCATTGCCGATGAAAATAAATATATTGCTAAAAATTCTATTTTTGTTTCAAATGATACTTATAAAACTGGAGAAAAAAATCTTTGAAGAGTTAAACTTTCTAATTCAAAAATTTATCTGGCAAGGAAAGAAAGCTACAATTGCAAATGTTACAAGAAGCCAAGGGAAATGGAGGTTTTGGCTTGCCAGAATGGGTTTTATATTATCAAGCGTCACTACTAACATGGGTAAAAGAATGGATAACTCTTAGAAATAAAAGATTGCTGTACTTGGAAGGACATGACCTACAACTTGGTTGGCACGCTTTTTTATGGTATGCAAAAAATAAAATACATAAATACTTCCAAAACCACTATATTAGAAATGCATTATTATTAACATGGGAAAAAATAAAATGTAAAATCTGTTTGAAAATTCCAAAATGGCTTTCAACAATGGAAGCATTTGTACATCCAAATTAGTCAGTCTTGATAAAATATGGAGATATAAAGATATTCTAAATCCTGAAGAAAACTTAAAATCCAGGCAAAAGATTGAAAATCAGGACATTGATTTAACATGGTGGTCACATTTACAAATGCAAGTCAGATACAACAAAAATATTAAACAGTATGGATTTTATAAAGAGCAGACTATGTTTGATCAAATATTACTAACTTCCGATGAAAAATTAATTTAAAAATGTACGATTTCTTATTAAATCTCAAAATGGAAGATGAACAAGTAAAAGAGACAATGATAGTATGGGCAAAGAATTTTGAATATGATATAGACTTAGAGAAGTGGCAAAGTTTGTGGGAAAGAAACTATAAATTGACAATGTCAGCTTCATATAAAGAAAACTTATTTAAAATGTTCTATAGATGACACTTGCCACCACCAAGATTAGCAAAAAAAATTAAAATATGTCAGAGAAATGTAAACACAAATCAGGTACTTTTTATCATATATATAAAGAACCATGTGATAACCATGATAGAATTGTAGAAATTGTAGAAAAATTGTATCTTTCTACAACTATCTGGGTCACTGATACACCTTATAGATTGCATCCTAGGAGAATTTATTCTACAAGAAATGTTTTGGACTTTAAAGTATCATAAGATTCATGTTGTTCTAGTTACAAACATAAACAGGTAAAGGGCTCTAAATGCATTTACCTATAGTATCTACTCCTTTCCTTCCAGCTCTTCCAGCCATTTGTTTGTATGTCAAGATATCCAACAGTCTGCTACCAAATACAGGAGTTCGGATAATTACCCGACGTGCAGGCAGATTTACCCCCGAAGAAAGTGTAGAAGTGGCTATTAAAACTCGTAGGACACCTTGACGGAAAGCTACTTCAATTATGTCTCGTTCATCAAATGTCAAACCTGAAAAATAGTTTAAGATAAATATGCTTTATAAGTTTAATATATAGGTAGCATTTTTCACTTTCATTAAAAAATTCAATTAGTTTACAATAAAATGGTAAAAATTATAATTAAACAATACTGGAAGAGAAAACAAACAAAAATATCCTCCCTGCTCTTGATCATGAGATCATTCTAAAACAAAAAAGACGCTCCTCTGTACCACTGCTACCTGAGCGATGGTGACTCATGGCATCCACAACAAAATAGTTTTGTTCACTATTACAGTCAAAAGCCCACAATACAGGATATTTTTAAAAGCACAAAACCCAGACAAAAACAACTTATAACAGCTCAGATGAAAATCAAAACATGCAAACCTTTACTGAAATTAAGCACATTGAATTTTCCTAATCAGGAAATGTTTGGGGCAAACATAAATGTAAAAGTTTGTTACACTGTTGGAGATGCCCAACATTTGGTCTAAATAAAAGTCATAAAAACAGAATTTGAATCCCCTATCTGGAAAACAACTCCTTCCTGCCTTTAATTTCAAACTTATTTGAAAAATGTGTGTTGTTCTTAACATCCATCACTAACCTCAACTCATTCTGAGGTTTAGCTTTTCTGATACCTTCTATATTTTCAGAATTACTTCTATGTACTTTTAGTGACATACCCCTCTTTCCTTTTTTATGTGTTCTTTTCAATTTGTAGATATTCACTTAATGATTTTTCTAACCATATTAGCTTTTGCCATCCTCCATTTTTTCCTTTTAGGATATCCTTTTGTGCCTTAATTATCTCTTTTTTGTTGCCATCTATTTTTTTGTTCCTTTTACAAACAACTTTGACTTCATGGAATCCTACTGACTTCATTAAAGTGTATAGTCTCAAGGTACATACCATACATGCACAATTTCTGTTAATATTGACAATTCCAATATTACATGCTTCTTCCTGCTTGCAATTCCTACAATTTTCTGAATTGCTTATTGTGTACATGCCAAAACTCATGTGATTCTGCTGAGATGTTGGTTCCCTGCCTGGTGGAATTAAAACAAAAGTCACCAGTGCTGATACCTTTATTAGTTCTGGTTAATTTAATCCTGATCCTCTTAACAGTGCTACCAAGTTCATTACCTTGGATTTCTCTTCAACATGAATATTTTTAACATGCAAGGCAATTCTTCCTCAATTCCCGTTACTTCTGTGCTATTTGAATAAGTCTGTTTCTTCAATTGTTCTATTCTACAATAATCATAAGAATCTTCCCATCATATTTTAGTTCATCTCTTATTTTATCTCCATATTTTTATTGTATAGACCACAATGGCCACAATTTATGTCAATATTTAGTGGCTTCATAATCTCAGCATAATTACTACCTCATTTCCTTCTTCTACCTGAATAGGAGTTTATCTGAAATTTTTACCACCAGTTTTATTTCAAGTCATCACCAGTTTAAGGCCTACAGAGCAAACCAAATGTGTTTTAGACATATTCTTTTCCATCTTTACATGGTCACAACCATGCTAGAAATTTCACACCTACTGATAAGCATGATAATAAAAAGTGTACCTGCATGGTGAAAAGCAACTCCCCATTTGATGGTCCGGTGAAGCACACTGTCCAAGCCAGAAGGAGACTGCTTTAACTGAATCAACAACTTTTCTATCCCTTCCTGGCACAGCGTAACAGGTGAAAGAGTTGACATCTTTTGAAGATCTTCAAAAAGGAAAACAGCCTTAAAACCTTATGCTTTCTCTCCAACTTCCTTCTCTTCTTCTATCCCTTACTCTTTGACTTACTCTTTTGTTGAATACTGCAGAATTCCCTGGCAATGATGTCTGCTAATTTCTCACACCAATTCTTTGTTGGACAAAATACAAGAACTGAATGTCCATCCTGGACTGTCTCATAACACAGAGTCACCACATGGTCCTCATCTCCCTAAACAATTGTAGAAAGTGACAATTACATATTAGGGCTATGGAAATAAAATGGAAGGTTTAAATATAAAATTATTTAAGACATAAAACAAAGAGGATTAGGATTGCCTGAGTTGTATTTGTAAATTGTATTTTGCAGCCTGATGTTTGGGGGTGCTGTTGAGAAATAAAAGAATGTTATAATTAGAAGAACACAACCTGAGATTTGGATGGTTTTGCTTTTTAATGCACAAGAAAGTTAAAGAAAATGTAGAAAGTTAAAGTAAATCATGTTAGGAGTGCCATACTGAGAATATGAAATAGATATAAACCCAGGCTGTGTCCAAAAATGTCTTTACTGATTTCAGCACAAGAAGCATTTCATAGAAAAGAAACAGCAAACAAAGACAAACAGTTAACATATCAAGATTTGCTACTACAGGACCATGTAGAACTGAAGATGAAGTCAAACAGTTCACTACAGCTGGAGTTAGTTGTCAATGGTTTTCATATATATCTAAAATTAAGAAAAAGATTTAATATAGATTTAAAATAATTGGAATTGAAAAACATAAAACAAAATTTGAAATTGATTTGTTTACAAGTGATAAATATATGATTGCTAGGATGTATAAATATTTGCTGATATTTGAAACCGAATAACAAGTTAAAGAGTGCATGATAAAATGGTTAAGAATATTGATTATAAATAGACAATTTATAACAATTGTTTCAGAGATATTTCCTTATCTACCTTGCTCTCCCCAAATGCCCTCTGTGATCCTTGATGCACCTTGCCTGCAGCTCCCTGAAAACTTCCTGACTCACATGGTGCTTCTCAGGCAGCCCCTCCCGTGTACTTCCTTATCCACACACTCTTCCCGGCCAGTGCCATACCCTGCACACCCTCCCAACCTCCGTGGGAGGTACTGCGCAGGTTAGGAAGCTGTATGGAGGTCCATGAGTTGCTGTGTGGGACAGGGAAGGTATACAGGGGGGCTGTGTGAGGTGGAAAGGATGTGGAGTGGTGTGGGACAGAACAGGAATGGTGTATGTGTAGTGCAGTCTGTGTTGGAGAGTGCATGGAGTGATATGGGTTGGGTGCATGGGGGTGTGAGAGAGATGGTGCGCATGCAAGGAGATTCAGCATGGGTCAAGAAAGATACACAGTAATGTGCAAGTGGCAGCACAGCGTGAGCACAGAGGGGATTGGGGAGATTCTACAGATGGGGAGACTTTGCTTCCGGAAGCTCGCATGATTAAGTTTACACTTCCTGCCAATCTCTCCACTGACATGAGGAAGCTGTCAGGAAGCAATGGAAATGACAGACATGAAGGCCAAGGAGAGGAGAAGAGAGCTGGCAAGGAGAATGAGAGCAAAGGAAAGGAAGACCCGAGAGACAGGTTCAGCCGGGGAGGAGGAAGAGGAGGAAGAGAAAGGGGGAATGCGAAGACTGATAGGGAGGAGGGAGGCTCTGGACGGGGATTCACCCGCCCACGAACGAAGGAGGGGAGGGGCAGCCCACCGGACTACCCCGCGCCAGCGACGACAGCCCGATCGCCCCACTCTGTAGCCCTGATAGATCTGAGTCAGGGAAGAGGAGATGGACATGGGGGCAAGGAGAGGGGGACCAACAGGGAGAATGGAGGGAAGGTAGAGGAAAGTGTAAGAGATACGGGCAATGGAGAAAGGGGGAGAAGCCTGAAGGTTGATAGGGAGGAAGAGAACTTCAGACGAATGGCCACTCCCTTGGGTACGAGGGAGGAGGAGAACAAGCCATCAAGCCATCCCACACTAGTGAGAGCAACCCGGCCACCCCACCTCATATCCCCGACAGAGCCGGACCAGAGAGGAGGGGATAAGCATGGGAGTAAGGAGAGGGGGACTAGTAGTGAGAGTGAAGAGAAGAAGAAGGTGAAAGCAAGAGATACAGTCAGCAAAAAAAGGGGGGGAGATGGGAAAGCTGGTAGGGAAGCAGAGGACCCCAGACGAGTAGTTACTCGCTCATGGGCGAGGGAGGAAAAAAACAGGCTGCCAAGCCACCCCGCGCTAGGGAGGACAACCCGATTACCCCACCCAGCAATTCCAACACACCAGGACCATGGAGGAGACAGATACGAGGGCAAAGAGAAAGGAGCCGAAGAAGGGAATGGAAAGAAGAGAGAAGACGTGGGGGGTGCAGGGAGTGGGAGAAGCAGGGGCAGCGCGAAAGTGGGCGAGGGGACAGGGAAAGCAACAAAGGCGGCCACGCATAAGAAGGAGGCGAAGGATGAACCACCGGGCCGATTCACGGCAGCGGGGATATCCCGACCACCCTACCCCAGCCGCCCCAGCCGCCCAGATACGAAGGAGGAAGAAAGGAAAACATCGGGCCACCCCTCGGCATTGGTGGCGACCCGGCCACCCCACCCCGCGACTCCACCGCGCCCGAGCCAGTTTGAAGTAGGGTTCCCCCTCCCGAGAACCAACGACTGGATTAGGAACAGCAGGCAGGGAAATGGGAAAATACGACCTAGGTATGATGACATTAGTAAGAGAGACGGGCAGGAGGGGGGGGAGAGGAAGAGGGCTAGTAAGGTGAATGAAGGGAAAGAGGAGGTAAAGAAGGAAGGTGAACCTAGCCGGTCTGGATGGGATGAACGGAAGAACGATAAGAGTGGGGTGTGGAGAGACGTAGGGAGCACGGGATACATGACCGCAGGAAGAGGGGAGGGAGCGGCTTGTGGGAACGACAGTGGGGCAACTAAAGCCAGCGGGGGTCCAGGAAAGAGAGTGGGCATCCCGAACCAGGTAGATCTGACTAATGGAAGGAACAAGAACGTAGGACTACAGGGGCAAGGAGAGCAGGGGATACGATTGAGGAAAAGGGAAAAAGGGGGGAATGCCCCAGCCACTCCTAGCCCGCGAGCAAATGAACCGGATGAAGGCAACCGTGTGGATAAGCCTTGCAGGATAGGAACAGCTAATGGAGGAAAAGTCACCGCCGGAGCACAGCTGATGCAACTAGGACCGGTAACCAGGTCCAAAAGCCGTGTGCAGACCGTGTTTGACCTATAAAGACTCTCCCATAGACTGGCTGATTAAGCCCTGATGATGTCAGCAGAACGCTGACGAAAGCTCGGCATTGGTATAGCGGCATTAAACTCATATAGTTTAATGATTTTACCCTGGTGTTCGTTTTATTTATTTATTTGTTTTGGCATGGATGCACCCAGGGATCATGTTTTTAGTATAATTACCAACATATAGTATACTATATACTACTGTATACAGTAATATATAGATATGAACAGACCAATGGGAAAGAATTTAAAAGGACTGAAATTCACATTGTGACACTATTTAAGAGAGGAATTTTACAAAATAATGTGCTGTTGGCATATGACACCAGAGAAATTATCTAAGGTGTATAAAAGTATTTTTAGTCAGTACTGGAAAAGTGAAAAACATAAAAGGTTATTTTTACCATACATACATGTGGGACTTGTGAAAAAGTAAAAAAAAAAAAGAATACAAATACATATAATGATACAAAGAATTTTAAAGACAAATATTCAGATGAAACCAGAACTTCTTTTATAATAGTATAAAAATATCAATATACATAAAATGTTGCCATAATTTTATATAAAAAAGTAATATTGCATCAAACTAATTCTCAGTATGGGCAAATACCTTAATATTCAGTACAGGTTGAATTTCTCTCACAACTGCATTTGAAGAGTCATAAATCTTATTGCCAATTTTTACTTGTTCCAGAAGGGGTACTGGACGGAAGTCTGTGTGGTACAATTCTGCATTTAGCCAGGAAGCCAGTAGATCCAAATTAGGAAGGGTGGCACTCATTCCTATGATCTGTATTTTATTACAAAAAGACTCTTCCATGATTTGTCTGCAGGAATAAACAAATTTTGAAAACTGATTCCACTGCATATTTATTTATAGAATTTATTAACATATTAAATGTGGGTCTCCTCAGGGTGCCGTCAGCCAGACAGTGCCGGCTGGCGACCCCCAGGGGGAGGGCCTTCTCGGTGGGAGCCCCCACCCTCTGGAACGAACTACCCCCAGAGATCCGGGTGATCCCGGATCTCCCCTCCTTCCGCCGCGCCCTAAAGACATGGCTTTTTCAACAAGCGGGTCTGGCCTAGGGAATTTTAGCGG